CCAGATAAACACCGATCGATAACTTCGCGAAGAATACGTTGAGTGATTTCCGATGCCATTTTATATTTTGTAACAACAAGATCGTTGGCGATGGTTTCATCCTGCGCTGTTTGCGATGATGTTGAATCACCGGAAGACGATGAAATACTTGCTGATCGTGATGAAGACATAATTAAACCAAAGCTTTTCTGAATGAATACAGTTCTGTACACTTATTTGAATGGAAGATGTTCATGTCTAGTCAACCACCAATACGAGAATAGATCTATGAAGACCTCGATCGAATTCGAAAATGATTTAACTGTTCAGATCAACGATCTTCCCGATTAGTTTTTCAAAAATATACCTAAATCGAAATTTGATTTAACGAATTTAATAAAAATTTTAATCACGCTCAATATCATCATCAATTGGCTGTTATAAACCAATGAAATTTCATCCCGATTTATTGAAAATATATCCCTTGTGAAAAGTTCAGTTTTGTAAGGTTTATTTCTTTCATGAATTAATAACAACAAAGCAACTGAAAACTATCCAAATTAAGTTACACAAACGAACTGAAAATATTTCTGACTTGTTCATTCATAGAATTACTGTTTTTGATGGTATTGTTTAAACAAAATCACCAATGATTTCAACTGTGACATGTGAATAGGTGCAATGAATGACGACTGAGTTAAGACTGCTTCCATGTCGTTAATCCAACGCGGAAACCCTCGCGCTATGCGTTCGCAATGACGAAAAACAAATAGATAGAACCAATGTTCAGATATAATTGATGTTGAGGGAAAATTCTTTTGTATACAAAGTAGATATTCTCTTTCAGCGACTCGACGACATGCTGAAAACGAATTATCAGATGAAGCGATCATTTCCCGAATGATGGTTTCTTCTTCATGAGTTGTCAACGGATGGAAACAGACTGATGTCGTGTGTTGTAACGGTGATTTCGAGTCTGTATCAGATAAACAAATAATGTCATCCTAAAACACGCAATATCGAAAATATCTCGGAGGACATGTTCAACGAACTAGTTCATCAGAGTTGGAATTGAATAGTTGTAGAATTTCTTCCGTATCACTATCTTGAGTGCGGCAAAGTGTTGGTGTTTGCTGTTTTATTGGAATTTCTTTATTAGTTGGTTCAGTATCTTCTTCAGATTCGTCGATCTGGTCCCAGTACCACCATTCATTCTTGAGAATGTTAACACGCTTTTTCAAGGAATATTTCGCCAATCTTTCGGTTTGTTTAATAGCTGTATTCAAATTTGATCGATCTTTAATACTTAACTTTTGTTCCTCGCGAATTTGAACTTTCATCTAAATGAAAAAAA